TTTTTTTTTTTTTTTTGTCCTTTTTGAGACCGGCCGCACCGCGCTCAGCCAGTGAGCGCACCGGTCATCCCTATATAGGATCCGAACACGCGGCAGGAGCACCGCCGCACTCCCAGCGCTGCACTCTCCTGAGTGCGCCACGGGCTCGGCCCACATTTTAGATAATTTCTATTGCTATGTCTTCAAGTGCATTAATCATTTCCTCTGCTATTTCTAACCTGCCAGTAATCCCATCCAATGCATTTTTCATCTCAGACATTTTAGTTTTCATCTTTAGGAGTTCAATTCGGGTCTATCCTCCGTCTCTACTTAACTTTTGGAACATATAAAATACAATTATAATAACAGGTTTTTTTTGTTCTTTTTTTTGTCCTTTTTGAGACCTGCCGCACCGGTCATCCCCACATAGGATCCGAACCCGCGGCGGAAGCGCCACTGCGCTCCCAGCATCGCACTCTCTGGAGTGCGCCACGGGTTCGGCCCATAATAACAGTTTTAATGTCCTTGTCTGCTCGTTTGAGCATGTGTATCAGTTCTTGGTCAGTTTTGGTTGATGGATAGTTCTCATTATGAGTCTTGTTAGGTTGTTATTTTCTGCTTCTTTGAATGCCTGGTAATATGAAGGTACTTCAGAAAGTTCGTGGAAAAATAGAATTAAAAAGTAATATGAATCTTTTCATGAACCTTTTGAAGTACCCTCGTATTTGATGAGATGCCAGGTGTCGTCAATTTTACCTTGTTGGGTGCTGTATATGTTTGTATTCCTATAAATTTTCTAGAGCTTTGTTCTGGGATGCTGTTAGTTACTTAGAAATAGTCTGATCCTTTTAGGTTTTGCTTTTAAGATTTATTAGGTGGGGCCAGAGCAGCAGCGTTTAGTTCCGGATCGTTAAGTATTCGGCCCCATGCCTTTCCAATCTGGCTGGTGGGATAAGCACTATTCCCAGCCCTGTGTGAGTGTCAAGCACTGTTCTCACTGATTTTTTTGGATGGTTCTTCCCCGGTCTCAGGTAGTTTCCTCACATGTATGCACAGGTTGGTGCTCTGTACTGTGCCTTGTGAGCTCCAGCTGCTCTGGTCTCCCTGGACCCTCACTAGCCTCTCATCAGCTCAGGAGTCTGCCAGGCCAACCTGTGTTTTCCCTCCCTGTGCTATGGCCACAAGTGTCTCTCAGCGCAGTTAGATGGAGCAGTTATGGGACTCCCTCCTTTGTTTCCGGTTTCTCAGGGATCACTCTCCTTCATTGCCTGATGTCAGTATCTTAAAACCTGTCATTTCATCTTGTCTTTTTTTGTCTCAGGTTGGAGGGTGAGTCTGGTTTCTGATGTTCCATTTTGACCAGAGTGGGAGTCTGCTGCTTGATCTTTAAATCTAGATTCTTGTCACAAAAGTCTTGTTTGGTTTTCTTGTTTTCTCTTTGAAACATTCTTTTTGACATTTGCAAGAATTATTTGGGCTTAAATTCCAATTTTTTTTTTTTTTTTTTTTTTTTGGCGGCTCTTCCTGACTCTGCCTAGTTGCCCACTGATTTTATATCCCTGCTCCCCCCTCCCTTTTTTTTTTTGCCCATAGAGGTTGTGTTTCCTTGGAAGGTACAGGTCATTAACAAATAAGCAAAACACAAGTCGGTATGTGATATTTCAGATGGTGATAGATGCTGTGGGGGAAGTTATACTGGTCTGGGGAGCACAGAGTACTGGTGAGAGGTTTCTGAGAGAGCGAGCCATGAAGAATTCTGAGGAAAATAAATCCAGGAAGAGCAAACTGCAAAGGGCAAAGGCTGTAAGGTAGAAACAGCTTTTTGTGCTTACGGAACAGAAAGAGGCCTCTCAGTTTGTAGTGAGTTGGGTGGAGAAAAGAACAGCAGGAAAGGTATTAGAGGTTGCCAGGTCCGTGCAACAGGCGGCCTGGGCCAGGTTGAGCTGCCAGGAACACAACCCTAAGACTTTACTGTTTCATAAGAGCAAACCTTCCCTGTGTTAAAATTTGATCATTTTCTGGGTCAGTCGAATTGTTTATTAGAGTTCTTTTGATTTTTTTAGATAAATTGCTTTTTGGTTGGGTTTTTTTGTTTGTTTTTTGGAGTCTAGCCAAGTACGGTGATATGAACCCTTGATCTTGGCGTAATAACCCCCCGCTCTAACCAACTGAGCTAGTTATTGCTCAGATTTGCCAAGCTGTATGTAGGTATGGTGTTCCTTTATTCACCTTTTTCTCTCCTTGTTCTCATTTCAGACTTAAGATTCAAACCTTGAGCTGAGAAAATGTTTGTGCTGTTATTTCTTTAATGACCGTTTCTCTGTTGTCTTCCCCTTTCCCTCTGACCTTAGGAATTCCTTTATATATGGGCTTGATCAGGCTCCATGTCTCTTTATTTTTTTTTTTTTTATTATTTTTTTTGGCGGCTGGCCGGTGTGGGAATCTGAACCCTTGACCCTGGTGTCACACCACCACGCTCTGACCGACTGAGTTCACCGGCCTGCCCTCCACATCTCCTTTTCATCTTCATACTCCTATTCATCATCTTAAATCATTCCATTGATCTATCTAGGAGAACATCACGGGATTGTTTTCTGATTCACCGGTTTGGTTTTCTGCAGTTTCTCACCTGCCGAGGCCTCTGGCTTACAGAATTGTATTTTCCATCTCCAAGCAACCTTTCATGTTCCCTTTTCAAGTCGGCCTCCCTGAGTCTCCTAACGTGTGTGAATCTCAGTCCTTGCTGATGCCACGGATTAGAGAGGTTCTGGATTTTTTTCACGTTTCTCAGAAACTCCATGTCCCATGAACTGTGGTTTGAACTGGGAGATGTTTTCATTTGGCCTGTGCTTATCTGTGCTTACTTGTCCTCAAGTAGGGGGACCTCTGTGTGTCATGTATGGGAGATAACAAGGGTTTGGGGAGATATTGTGTGGATCCCTGCCTAATCTGGATCCTGAGGAAGGAAGACAAAAATGGACTGCACTTGTTCTAGATTTTTATCACCCCGTGGGATGGCCAGGAGGCTGAGAGAAGTTAGGCCCACACGGCCCGAGGTGACTATGTCCAGGAGCTGGCCTCGGCACCTGGATTCCTGACTCCCTGGGGTGTTTCTCATGTCCTCTAATTGCCTGGTTATGCCTTGGGTGTAGCCATGGCAGTATGTCTAAGTGACTAAGGCTTCATGGGCCTAGCACAGGTGATTGAGCTGTGGACCTGCCATCAGAGCTGAAGTGTGCCCACAGCTGCCCATCCCAGCTCCCCACCTGCAGCCCTGTGCTCTGGGGTGGGAGGCGCCTCTTCAGTCCCTTCCTCTTCCCCTGCGGGCTTGTCCATCACATGCAGAGATCGCACCTGGGGGTCCACACCTGACAGAAGCGTCTCAGGAGTTCTGTTCCTGGGCCGGACTACTGCCAGGTTCCTGTCTGCTGCAGCATTCCCGCCACATTTCTGCCCCTTCTGTGCTGGAGCCGAGGAGGCTGGGAAGACAGTGGCCTCACCAACTGTTACCTGAGGTCACCTTGCCTTTCCTTCACGCACTGCCACCATCCTGCTCGCCACATGCTCTCTGGAGAGGAGCCAGGCGGGCATGCAGTCTTCCTGGATCCCCCCTGCTCCCCTCCTACTCTTGCTGTGTCCAAAGCCTGGCCACAGGCTGGCCTGGTTCTGGGAAGCCCTAAGACTGGGCTGTGACTGAATGGCATTGTCAGCCATCTGTTACCCATCTGGGTCTCCTGGCCTCTCTGAGATGCTTCCCCGTCCCTTTCTGTTTCTGAGGAGGGCCCTTCCTCTAAGCCCCAGACTCAGTCATACAGGGGTGGGCAAGTGCCACGGGAAGAGAACCATGCAGGGGGCTCCCTCCCCACCACTGGGTCCATAGATCCTGTGGAGGGAAGTTGGGGTCGTGGGCAGCAGTGTCTAGTGTCTGCCCCCCACCCTGTCTCTAAGCCCTCTCTCTGACCCCTGGCAGGTTTGTAACCCCAGATCAGAAGTACTCCATGGATAACACTCCCCACACGCCAACCCCATTCAAGAACGCCCTGGAGAAGTACGGACCACTAAAGCCCCTGGTATGTGGTGTAGTTCCTGCTGCTGGCCTCTGTGCAGTGGCGTCTCTGGGGTTCATCCAGCCATTTACAGTTCACAGGGCCCTTTCCCTCTGAGATCTCATTGGATTCTTCTCTCCTGAGAAGGTGCAGATATCCTAATTTTATAAATGAGGAAACCGAGGTCTCTACTTATCAGTTCACCCAACACTTCCTGATCACATTTGTGTGCCAAGCAGGCACTGGCTGGTGTTGGGGACATGGCGGTATTCTGGTGAAGCTTAGCAATTAGGATGGCGGAGACACATTAGACACATGACACATAAGTAACTAAAGTACTTCCAGCACAGGATGAGTGCTGGGAAGAAAACGGGCAGGTGCTGGAATGGAGAAGGACTTCTCAGGAGGTGTGCCTAATTCCAAGATAGGACAAATTGTTCCTCTGGCCTCAGCCTTTTGACCTACTCCCGGTGCTTTACAGAACATGGGCAGCCCCTCAGTGGGGCTGGCGGGGCTGGTGAGGAAGCACCTTCTCGGCATCTCTCCCTGCAGTGCACACACTGCCCCTCTCCCCTGCGCTCCCGCTGCTGCAATGGTGGCATTTTCTTTTTTTTTTTATTTGTCTTTTTTCCGTGTCCGGCAACGGATCGCAACCCTCAGTGTTGCCCCCGTACCGGACCGGGGACCGGCAACGGGATCGCAAGCCTCGGTGTTGCTCCCGCGCCTCGCTCAGCCAGTGAGCGGGAGCCGGTCTGTATATGGGATCCGAACCCTCTGACGGGAGCGCCGCCGCGCTTCCCAAGCGGCGCACTATCCAGTGCGCCACCGGGCCGGCCCAATGGTGGCATTTTCCCTGTGAAAAAAGAAAGAGAGCTAGCACCTTGCCCTTTCTGAAACAGGCAGGTGTTTTGGAAATCAGTGGAAAGTGAGAGAAAGGCATGGTTGTGGCAAAGCATGTACTGAACGGTCCATGGCAGACCCCACCTCTGCCCTGTCCACTGCACGGAGGCCTTATGAAAGCTGGGGACTAGTGTCCCCCTGGTCGTGCGATGGGGACTGATTCTGAGTTAAGCAGGGTTTGTAGGACTGTGTTGCATGGGGCCGAGGTGAGGTATTAGTGAGCGTTGCCCTTTCCTGCCGGAGTGGAGATGCTGAAATATCTGCTGTCCATGCAAGCCAGAGAGGGCAAATCTCATGACCTTGGCAGCTGTAATCAAAGTGTGCAGGGGCTTCTCAAGTGACTTCTGAGGGTCACACCCTACACCTGCCATTCACAGTAGCTCTTTTCTCTTCCCAGGCTCTGCTGCCTGAGGCTGGACAGGTTGCTTGGAGACCCTGGGCCTGAGAAAAGGAACTGGATTTGAGTATCTCCATTAGTGTAGAACCAAGCAGGGGATGAGCCTGGGCTTTAACCCTACAACCGTGTGGCCGTGGGCCGGGCTCTTGATGCCTGAGCCTGAGTTTCTGCCGTGCAGGAGATGATACTTGCTGCATGGGGCTGTGTGAGGTTTCCTGTGGGGTGTGGGGCTGCTCCCGGCCAGGGCAGGCACTCAGGGAGTCGAGGTTGGAGTCCGCTGTCCAAGGCCAGACGGTTAATGTTTGTGAGTGGTATGCGGAAGGTTGGCATCAAGGTACCAGGCCTCCTGCCTGGAGTGGCTGGGTCTGACCCGCTCTCCCCGTGAGTAGGCTGTGTGCCACACTGGCACAGCCTGAGTGTGCCACCTCACACGGGCTGTCCCACCCCTGCCCACAGCCCCAGACCCCACACCTGGAGGAGGACCTGAAGGAGGTGCTACGCTCCGAGGCCGGCATCGAGCTCATCATCGAGGATGACGTGAGGCCTGAGAAGCAGAAGAGGAAGCCTGGGGTGTGTGGCTGTGGGGCGGGGGAGGCCCTGCTGCCAGCCTGCATGGCTCAGGCAGGGGGAGTTGGAGCTATTGGTGGGGAGGGGGTGTCTGGGGATAGGTGATAAAGGGAGGTACTGGGAAAGTGTGTGGCCATGTGCCCGCCCCCTAGTGATTACGGATGAAACTGACCCCATGTCCGGGACCATTCCCTCCACTTTGAACCAATCTCTTGCCCAGCACTGGCTTGACTGGGTGTGGGGGCTGCAGCAGCGATTCAGATGCAGACACGGGGCTGCTTGGCTGAGCTCAGTGGGCAGAGACAGCTAGGCTGATTCCCACGGCGTGAGGGGCTGGAGAAAGGGGACACAAGGAGAGGCTCTGAGGGAGTCATCAGGTGCAGGCAGGGGACACCGTGTTGGTGTCTGGGCCACGTGAGCAGCCGGAAGAGTTGGTTTGGCTGAGGCAGAGTTGTCAGGGACCCTGGTTGGGGGCCCCTGGGAATCCACAGGGGCAGGGAAGGGAGTGTCCCAAGGCTAGCACAGCAGCTATGCTCCCTAGCCAGCCCCATCCCATGCCCTGTGTTTTTAGCTTTCCCAATAGTGGGCAAACTCCTACTGTCTCCCTCGGTGCTTCATTTTTCTCAGCTGCTCTTCTTGAGGGGGAGATGAGAACAGGGATGGAGCAAGGTGTCAGGTGGGTGGGTTATGGAGAGCAATGGGGATGCAGTTTGGGAGGGCCCAGCACCCCTGTGTGTAGTGGAGAGAGCTTGGCCCAAGGCCTCGGGCCCTCCATGGCCTCTCCTTGGTGTTGATGGTGGTCCCTAGCCAGGGCACCACCTATGTGGTAACACCGTTGGGTTGGGGAGAGGAGTCCTCCCTAGTATTGGAGCAGACCCCTGACCTGCTCATAAGAGGTGCAGGGTTAGGGTTGAGTGTTCCTTGTGACAGATGTTCGTAGAATGGCCTGTCCCAAGGGGTCCTACGCTTGCACACCATTTGTCGGGTAGGTGTCTGAGGTGTCACTTGGATGAGTCTCTGCTGGGCCTGTTTAGGGGTGTGTGTGGTCCGTTCAGGGGTGGAGGTTCATGTTGCATTCTCACTCGCTGCCACAGCATCTGGCAGGAAAGGGTCCACCCTGGGCACAGAGTCTGTAATGGTACCTAAGCCTCCGATGCCCCCACGCCCCTGACGACAAATCCCTTTAGCTGGGTCTTGCTCATAGGCTTCTCTGCAGCAGGACCTAGTTCTGTGACCATTGTCATCAAGGCGTTGGCCACGGGAATCCCCAACGCCCACCCTAACCGCCTCCTACCTCCCTCACCCTCAGCTGCGGCGGAGCCCCATCAAGAAAGTCCGCAAGTCCCTGGCTCTTGACATCATGGATGAGGACATGAAGCTGATGATGTCCACACTGCCCAAGTCCCTGTCTTTGGTAAGGGGTCGGCCACCCTTGCCCCACTGCAGAACTGCAGAGTACTCTTCTGCCCCAGGGAGAAGGGAGTCTCCCTGGAAGCCTCTGCCTCTGGAACCCTTTAGTTGTGGAGGACCCTCAAGGTGCGGTGGTCTAGTGATTCTCACGCTGGGCTTCCGGAATGCAGAGCTCCACAGCGGGGGAGCTGTCAGGGAGGTGGGTCTGGGCGCCCACCTGGCTTCCATCAGCAGCTCTGCCTGTTCCTCTCATGGAAGACTTTGTTTGGCAAGCGTTGCATTGCTGGAACATGTTGGAAAGCCAAACATCTGGGCCTCCAGCATCTTCCCTTGCATTCTGCTCATAGGGGTGACCCCAGAGAGGATCGATGATGTGCCTCAGCATAGCCAGGTGGGTTGGGGGGCATGTCAGCCCTGGGTTGGTGCCATTCAGCTCTCAGGCCAGCGCACTTGTTGTGTCAGGCAACCTCAGGAGGATAACATTGCCTATAGGCCCCCAGCAACCTTGCCACACTGCTGATCCCTCACAGCTGGCAGTGGGGTGAGCCCGCTTGCCCTGGCTCCTGGTGGGGAGGCAGTGAGAGGTGTGGCAGGGGGTCACGAACAGAGGTCTTGCCTGACCAGATCTCGCAAAACACAACTGCTGTACTTGGTCCTTACAGAGAAACCTCCCTCTGGCTGGGTTTCCCTGCCAGGCTGGCAACTGAGTGCACTCCAGCCATATTACCAAGAAAAAAACATGTTAGGGCAAGTGGTGGAGAGCACAGATTCTGAGTCACATGGGCCTGGGTTTGAGTCCTGCCACTACCACTTGCTCCCTGGGATCGCTCAGCTTCCCTGAGCCCCAGCTTCTTGGCTCTAGAAAAAGTACCGAGTCCAAGTAGACTGGCAGGAGGGCAGAGTGCCAGCAGAGCAGGGAGGCTGGGAGGACGTGGAGGTGCTTGGTGCGGCTCCTCCAGGTTTTGCAGGCTGGTGCTGCGTCTCTGCTGCTCCCGGATGTTTCTGGTACCAGGAGAACTGGGCTCCTCCTGAGGCTTCATATGAAATGAGCCGGCATTATGGAGTGTTTGCTAAGTGCCAGGCTCTGAATGGGCACTTCACAAATGTTTTCTTACTTCATCTTTTAAGTAAGAAACTTCTTTAAAAGAAGATTGAGTTCTTTGCTCCATCTTTTAAGTAGGAAAGATGAAATAAGTTCATTTAAACTCTCCACCTGGAACAGGAAACTGAGGCTTAGAGAAGTTTGCGTCCCGCCCAAAATCTCATCAGCCAGCAGTGGTGCAGGGACGTGAATGTGTTTTTTCTTCTTCCCACTAAGAGCTAGTGAGTGACTCTTTGCCTTGGTTTTGATTTTAGCCAACAAATGTCCCATCAAGCTCCTCCGGCCTCACCCTGTCAGGCATCAAAGAGGACAACAGCCTGCTTAACCAGGGCTTCCTACAGCCCAAGCCCGAGAAGGCGGTGGCAGCCCAGAAGCCCCGAAGCCACTTTCTGACACCTGCCCCTGTGAGTGCTGGCCATCCTGGAGGTCTTGTCCTGCCGCCCTTCTCACCTCAGGGCCTTTGCACAGGCTGTTCCCTCTGCTCAAATGCCCTTCCTGCTGTCTTTCTGTGGTGTTTGCTTGATTAACTTATTCTCCTGATCTTAGTCCAAATGCCACTTCCTCGGGGAAGCTGTCCCTGACCCCATGTGCTGGGTCAGCCCCTCCCCGCCATTCCCTCTTTTATGGCCTGAGTCTCCCTTTTGACTAAGTCATTCTCTGTGTATTTGGTGTGCTTAGTGCGTGTCTGTCCTCAAGGGCAGGGCTGGCCCTGGGCTGCATCTCAGTGTCTGTGCACATGAACCTTCTCACTGCTCCTTCTGGCCGTCCTGACTGGCTGGGGCTTTTTCTTGTGGGGCTGGTGCTGGCTGCATCAGGGTTGCAGCCCCGTCTCCTGGTCCAGCCTCCTCTACAGGAAGCTCAGATGGGGAATGACTTCCCCAGGGCTACCCAGGAGGTGGAGAGAGCACAAGAAGCCTCCGGCTTCTAGAGGGAGGGAGGCTCATAGAAATGCCCCCCAGCCCTTCCCTCCCCTGCCCCATCACCAGGATTGCTGGGAGTACATTGTCCCTGCAGGATGGTAACCATCTTGCCTCCTCCCAGATGACCAGCGCCTGGAAGATGGTGGCCTGCGGGGGGACCAGGGACCAGCTCTTCATGCAAGAGAAAGCTCGGCAGCTCCTGGGCCGCTTGAAGCCCAGCCACACATCTCGGACCCTCATCTTGTCCTGAGGGGCTTGGGGGTCACGAGCCTATTCTCATGTTTACAGGGGCTGGGGGAACGGAGCAGGTCTGTGAATGTGAGAATCAGTCTCAGGTGACAACCTGCAGGGAGCCTTCTGCTGCCAGCCCCTCCTCAGACTGCTCAGGTGGAAGCAAATAGGCCACCACTGTCCTTTTGCCAAGTTTAGCTTTGGGCAATTCCTGGTGCTAACAGAACAAAGTCCCACTGGACCTGCCTGGTCCCCTGTGTAGTGCCACAGGGAGCCCAGTCAGCTTCTCCCAAGCCCTGGTCAGGCCTGGGCTCATCTCAGACCCCTACCTAGGATGGGCAGCATGGCCAGGGATGCTCCTTTCCTCAACCCCTGTTAGAATGTTTCTTTGAAAAAATAAAATTGCTTTTCTCCATGTGCTGCTTTGGACCCTACCTTTCTCCTGGACGCTGCTCATGGTTCCCTGGTGACTTATCTTCAGGTCCCTTTCTGGGATGTAGGGATCTAGGCCCTCATCCTCAAGAGTGCAGCCTTGTCTGTTTAGGGGGCTCTGGACCTTTCCCGCAGAGGGGCCCAGTGAGCTGGGGGCAGTTTCTCTTGTCTCTGCTCCTAGTGGGCATCTCTGTAAAGCTCTGAGGATCCTCAGCCATTGGGTGGGGGTGGGGTGGGCAGAGCCTGGGAACAGGAGAGGGCAGTGGGCTGGTTCATTCAGGCCTTGCTTGGCTCTTGCCATGGATGGCTCGCCTGGCATCCAACGAGCCCCTACCTCAAGCTAAGCTCCGCTCCTAGGCCAGAACAGTAAACAAGGAGTGACAGGCAGCTGGATCAGGCCAGACCCTCTGCCCTGGTGGCGCTAAATTCCTAAGGTGATGGCAGTGGTTTTGGCTGTAGCCTGTCCTGCTAATAGGAAGAATCCCTGGGGATTGAAGAGGGGGAGATGCCAAGTCTGAGACGGTCTACATCTGGAAGTGGTGTTTTCAGCAGTGGCGTTTATGGGATGGGGTAGGTACATGGCCAGCCTAGGGGCTGAGGTTGAGTGGGCCTAGGGCAGACCCGCACAAGACGTGGCTTCAGAACCTTGTTCCCAAGGGACACTCGAGGACTGGTTCTCTCCTGGGGCAAGAGATGAGGACTGAGTTGGGACACCAGTGTTCAGGTCTATCTGATCTCAGGCACACCCCTCCCTGCTGTGCTCACACATGGGGTCCCTCACTCAGCATGGTGGAGCCCTCTCCAGACACCTTTGTCCAGGCATACCCTGTGTGAGCCTGGCTGCGTCCCAGTTCCTGCTTCAGAGCCAAGGAGGGGCCGGGACTCTGTCCCACCTGCTGCACAGGGCTGTAGGTGTTGATGGGTGACCCTGCACATGGTGAGGTTGGGGGCTGGGTTGCTTCATCACTTAGGCTTCACACCAACACTCAGTGTTTGTGGGACACCTTCATCAAAGAGGCAGTGCACTGCAGGGTTTCCTACCACTGGCTAAAGATGCAGATTTCCAGGCCATCCGACCTGAGTGAACTGTAGACACCTGGGGTGGAGCCTGAAAATGGGGATTTTAGCCACCTCCGCCAGGTGATTGGCATTCAGGGGTCTGCAGCCATGCTCTGATGGACTAGCTGGCCGCCCACACTCCAGGGGCTGTTCACAAAGCGCCCTCACCTGACCATGGTCTCTTATTGTCAGGGGCTGTCCCTGAGGCCCTTCCCTATCCAGGTGGGTGGGGCTGCAAGCTTCTTAGCACCGTCCTCCCTGCAAGCTCTTAACTGTGGGCTTGTTCTTTGGTTCACGCATTAAATGAACACCTATTGAGGGTCTCTCCAACCCCGCCGTTTGCCGGGCATGATTCTCGGGCTGAAGATATAACAGTTAAAACCCAAAACGAGCACAGTGTGAATAAATTACTCAATCATTTTAAGGCAAGATATTTCTTCCATTTAAAAATGTTTCTGTCTATGAGGCCGGCCCATAGCTCACTCGGTAGAGTGTGGTGCTGATAACACCAAGGCCACGGGTTCGGATCCTATATGGGGATGGCCGGTTTGCTCACTGGCTGAGCGTGGTGCTGACAACACCAAGCCAAGGGTTGAGATCCCCTTACCGGTCATCTTTTAATAAAAAAAAAAAAAAAAGAAAAAAAAAGTAATCGCCTCCTGGCTTTTTGGCTGAGATCAAGTGTAGTATCTGTTCTTATAAGCTTAATATCTGACACTTCCTCTATCTGAGGAAATATTAAATGGATTTTTGGAAGTAGGATAGGAGCTTGCTCCGTCCACTCCACGCATCAGCCTGGTACTGTAGTCCCTCCTGGAATGGTGCACCCCCTTCGGGGGGAGAAAAAAAAAAACAACCCAAACCAAAAAACAAACTTATTCTCATGGAGGTTAAATTCTAGAGAGGGCAGCAAAACCTTAAGCCAACAAATCTGTATAGAACATGCCAGAGTCATAGGAGCTTTGAAGAGAAGTGAAGAAGGGAAGGCCACGGGGGCCAGGTTGTCACTGAGAGGAAGTGGAGAGGTGTCAGGTTTCAGTCAGAAGGTTTGACATAGCCTCCGACCACCATGAGGACAGGGAGGGGGGACTGGTGGCCACTTAGGGCTGGGTCCAGCTGTTTGACTACGTGTTTGGGGGCACTACAGTGCACTGTGGGGCCCAGCAGCTGCGAGACCTCGGTCATCTGGGTTGATCAGGACTGGTGCTTTCTAGGCTAGTGTGATGAGCAAGAGGGAGTTTGCCAGAGAGCTGAGGGGAAGAGGCCTGGGTTCAGGGTGGGAGTACAGGGTGGGAGTGCTGGGGTTGGCCTGGGAGATGCACAGGCAGGAAGGAAAGGAGGGTGAGAGTTCCGACAAGATCCAGATGGAGGCCTGGCATTTGATGGCTAACATGGTCTGGAGGTGAAGGTGACAGTGGGAGTGCTGGGGTTGGCCTGGGAGATGCACAGGCAGGAAGGAAAGGAGGGTGAGAGTTCTGACAAGATCCAGATGGAGGCCTGGCATTTGATGGCTAACATGGTCTGGAGGTGAAGGTGACGTGTCAACAGATACAGAGACTGTGGTAGATGACTAGAGTAAGGGTCCCAATGAATCCCTGCTCCCTGCAGCCATGCCCTTGAGCAGGTCACGTGACTTGCTTTGCCCAAAGGGACTCTGGCAGAGTCTGCTTGAGGAGGTGAGAACTCCAGCTGTCCCAGTTGCGACTCCAGACAGTAAGTGAGACCATCCTAAACCATCCAGCCTCACCTGATCTGGCCCAGACCCGAGGAACTGCCCAGCTGATCACAGACTCATGAGCAATATAAATTGGTATTGTTTTAAGCCACTAAGTGTTGGGGTGGTTTGTTCTGCAGTGGGTACTTGTGTGATCTGGGATAAACTGATCAGATGTCCTGGTTCTCAGGGTGGGCCGTGCAGGGACTAGGGCAGGGCAAGGCCACAGCTGATGGATGGTTCAAGCCTGGATTTAGGCCAGCACAAGGGTGGAGGAGCAGAGCTTGGCAGTGAGAAGCTTGCCTCCCAATCACATAGAACTCCAAGTAGAGGGGAAGAATGGCTTTCTTCTCTTGAGGAAGTTGCAGGGGTTGGGAGCAGGACCAGGCTCCCCTGGTGAGGTGGACGAGGTAAAGACATTCAGGGAAGCTGTTAGGGATAGATGTTTAGGTATAGGGTGCTTCTTTATAATGTTTAAAATATATAGTAAAACATTTATTTGCATTTTTATATCTCTACTTTAATAAAGGGAGTTTTCTAAGATGTTCTTATTACATATTTTTCTATTTTTTAAATTATAAAAGCCTTACACAGAGTTCAAATAATATAGAAGTATATAAATTAAAAGGTAGATATTTCCTTTCACCCATGCATCCCCACTTTCCCCAGAGGTAACCATTGTTAATGGTCTAATAAAATGCTTCTCAAATTCTGGATGTGTAAATGAATGACTTAGGATCTTGTTCAGATGCAGATTCTGATTCATAAGGTCTCAGATGGGGCCTGAGATGATGCATTTCTAAGAAGGTCCCAGATGATGCTGAGTTGGGAATAACTCATGGATGTAAGTGATGTGTTCATCTGCTTGGGGTAAAAATATAAGGTCCCAAATTTTTTGTTAATTAATTAATCAAATTCAGTATTTGGAGATTTTAGGACTGTTGCTACCTTTTTTTCTTCCTTGATCTCCATAGCATCTCCTAGAGCCTCACTCCATTCAAGAAGTCTGTGCTGGTAGATTCGAGGCAGGCTTTGTGCACTATGTGGTTACTATGGTGAGGCAGATGCCTGCACCCCCTCCACCCTGCCTTTGCCTCTCAGGCCATGCAGTATCCACTTGGGAAGACCTTGTCTGTACCTGCGATTATACACATGTTGTGCTAATTTATTGCACGACGACTCTTTCCACTCACACAAAACCTCCAAGTGAGCAGAGACTATACCTGTTGTGTTCACTGCTTTATCCCCAGCACCCAGTCAGTGCCTGGCACATAGCAGGTGCTTAATAAATATTTTTTTGAAGGAATGATGAAAACCAAGAGAGATCAGCAGTACTTTGGCAACTGTTTGGCGTTTGTGAGCTAATGATCTTCATATCAAATCGCCCTAAGTAATGTTGCTCTCTTGCCAAGGCCAAGGGAAGACCTGGCTTTCTGCTGTGTGACCATAGGACCTGACCAAAAAGAGTCTGTGGACTGAGAGTTGCACATGTGTCTTGATAGAAGGAATCTCCTGCTTCATCCACTCCAGCTGGCCAGACACAGCCACTTCAAGGCCCAGAGGCCTCTTCCCAGAGTCACGCCCCCTCTCCTCCTTCCAGATGCAGGATTCCCTGTCCCAGATCAGATAATGCCCTCCATCAATCCTCACCTGTCCCACAGTGCCAGGGTCCTACAGGGGACTTAAAGCGACTCTGACGGCCTACCTCACAGTCTGTGTTCATGACTGATAATCCTAGATCCCGTCTACAAGTTGGGTTCGGTTAGTTGTCAGATGCAGGATTCCCTGTCCCAGATCAGATAATGCCCTCCATCAATCCTCACCTGTCCCACGGTGCCAGGGTCCTACAGGGGACTTAAAGCGACTCTGACGGCCTACCTCACAGTCTGTGTTCATGACTGATAATCCTAGATCCTGTCTACAAGTTGGGTTCGGTTAGTTGTTTCTATTTTTTTTTTTTCCTTTTTGTCTTTTTTCGTGTCCGGCAACGGATCGCAACCCTCAGTGTCGCACCCGTACCGGACCGGGCCCGGCAACGGGATCGCAACCCTCCACGTCGCGCCCGCACCTCGCTCAGCCAGTGAGTGGGAACCAGTCTGTATGTGGGATCCGAACCCTCGGTGGGGGCGCCGCCGCGCTCCCAAGCGGCGCACTGTAGCAGTGCGCCACCGGGCCGGCCCTATTTTGTTTTTTTAATTGTGGTAAAGACACATAACATAAAATT